GGGTGTGGTCGAGTTTGATTTACTGAAGATTCGGAATTTAATTATAAGAGCAATTCTTATTTAGAAGCTTAAATGGAAAGAGTTGACCGGAGAGTTGACTTTTGAGCAAACAACCCCGGAATAGAATTTCGAGGGTGGCAATAGCTTCGTATGATAATTTCGGACTTAGGCTTATGTTCGGATTTGGATTTGGAAGTCCGTAGGACAATTCGACACATTTTGGCAAAAATTAGAAAATAGAAGATTTTGGAAAAAAAAATCCGATCGAAGGGTGATTTTTTGATGATGAGGTCGGATTTTGATTCCGGAAATGGGAATAGCTCCATTACATCAACTATGACTTGTATGCAAAATTTGAAGTCATTCCGCATTGATTTGATACGTTTCGGCGCAAAACATAGAATTTGGGAGATTCGAAAACTCATAATTCGATTCGAGGCGTGATTCGTAATTTTGACGTGGTTTGACGAGATTTGAAGCCTCCACTAAGTTCGTATTATATTTTGGGATGTGTTGGTATATTTGGTTGAGGTCCCGAGGGGCATGGGTGTATATTTTGGGTCATTGGTTGAGAGAATGGTAAAGTTAAGAAATTTAGGAGTTTGACCATGATCAATATCGCGTCAAGACGACCTCTTTTCAGTGTTTGAGTGCGTGAGCAGGACCGTAGCATGTTTTATGATTGAAATTCATATATGGTTTGTGTCCGGGAGGTTCCGGATGAGTTTCGGGAGTGCTGAGGCAAAAAGGGAAGTGCGGACCGCACAATTTTGATGCGGACCGCACTCCGGTCCGCAGTGGAGTTCGCGGACCGCACAATTTTGTGTGCAGAGCCGCGCTCAAGAACTCTCAGATTCGCTGGTCCGACTTCGGAAGCTCATATCTTTTGACCTACAAGGAAGTTTGAGATGATTTAAAAACAGAAATTGTAGCTCTTCGTGTCTAGTTTCCAGAAAGGTGAAGAAACCATAATTTGGACATCTGTATAGAAAGTTATGGCCAATTTACTGAAGGGTGGTAGAGGAGAAGGATGTGAAGTGCGGCCGCACCATTATTGTGCGACCACAGGAGCTGGGGATGTGCGGCCGCACCATTTTTGTGCGGACCGCACATTGGAAGTTTAGAGGATGTACTATATATCTGAGATTTAGGTTATTATTATATTTTTGGACTTTGGGAGCTCGGTTTGAGACGAGTTTTCGTGGGTTTTTCAAGAAATTCATCAGGGTAAGTGATTCTAACTCGAATTTGGTTAATATACATGAATATATCATTGATTTCATCATTTAATTAGTACTTTGAGATGGAAATTTGGGAAAATTTTTAGAAACTTCATAAATCGCAAATTTAAGATTTGGAGGTCGAGTTGTTATTGGAATTCGATAAAATTGGTATGGTTGAACTCGTATTGGAATGGGTATTCGGATTTCATGAAAATTATTCCGGCTTCCGAGGGGCGGGCTGATGTGTGGCTATAATTCATGGTTTAGCACATTATTTGCCTTGAATATTTATATGTTTTAATGATAAAGTACACCTTATTTGCGTGTAATAGGGTTCATTTTATGTGTAGGTGAATTGGAGGTGAAAGTAGAAGAAAAAGGAGACCTAGAAGTCAAAAGCGTGTGCGGGAGAATTGAATGAGAGAACCTGGCGATGCCAGGCTTGAAGCTGGCTTTAGGCTGGCATTGCAAGGCAAAGGCCAGGCTGAAGCTGGCGTTAGGCTGGCGTTGCAAGGCAAAGGCCAAGTTGAAGCTGGCGTTAGGCTGGCGATGCCAGGCCTGGGGCCAGGTCCAATCCGAGTTTTGAAGACTTAATTCATTTTCGGGTTTGACTAGGACTTGGCCTACACATTTAGGTCTTTTCCTACACATATAAATAGACCTAAAAACGCCACTTGGAGGGAGTCTTTTGGCGACCGGAGGCAAGAACATCACGTGGACAACTTTTGGAGGAGAAAATCATCGAGTTCTTCATCCCTTTATCTTTTCATTGTAGTTTGTTTATGCAAAATACTTGAAAAATTATTACTACGATCGTGAGTGGCTAAAACTCGTAGTTCTGGGGTTGTGATTTAGCCATGAATATTGTTGTTTTACGTTGACTTAACCTTGATTACAATTCACTAATATATGTTGTTTCTTCAATTCTGTAATTAATTACTTAATTGTCTGGCCAGCAGTTAGGTTCTATTTACTATCTATGCTATGCTTGGGAAAGCCGTATTTAGATTAGAGAAGAATTGAAGAGAGCATTATCTTAACTCTTAGGGGAGTGGATTTGTGGTTAGGATAGGAGTATACCTAGTCACCGTGCTTAATTATAGATTGATTCCATAGGAATATAGGCGTTAATCTATTTTGAATAGGCGAGTAGTACTTTGGGAGAAGGCTATGAGAGCAATAGTTTGATTAATTAGCAACCATGAGTGAATTGTATGCAAGGGAGAGTTAACTCGAACACAATAGGATTGGTGAATCGATCAATACCCTGGAATATTTATCTCTACTGAATACACCACAATTATTTTGCTACTTGATAATTTAGTTATTAATTAGAATGATAGTTTAGTATAATCACATCTTTGAACTCGATTTTGGCTTGACTGAATAACAATCTTGGTAAATTTAGTGGGTAGTTGATACAAGTCTCTGTGGGTTCGGCACTCGACTTATCATTTTATTACTTGTATGACCACGTATACTTGTGTGTGCGTTTGGGAGCAACAAGCTTTTGGCTCCGTTGCCGGGGACTTGAATATCGACTACTTTCTAGTTTTTGCTTTAGTTGTTTATTTCATCAACTCTAACGTTACTTGATTATTGCTCTGGTCTCAGGAACTTTGATTGAATGCGTAGGGTCAGAAGCCAGGACAGACTTCAAGGATTTGACCCCGAACCTGAGAGAACATTTCATAGGAGGTTTAGGGAAGCAAGGGAAACAAATAATCTTCAGGCACTCATTCAGTTTCCTGTGAACATGGTAGAGGAGAAACACATGGTTGTTTAGGAGGTGGCGATGCCCAGCATTGCTAATGTCACCTCCAGCATCGTGAAGCCCAGAATCACCGGGCACTTTGAGCTGAAACATAGCATGATCCAGCTACTTCATGCGAATGGGCAGTTTATGGGTCTTCCACATGAGGATCCACAACAACATATCCTGAACTTCTTGGAGGTTAGTGATATTTATATCACTAATGAGGTCACTCCAGACTATGTGAGTCTCACACTTTTTCCTTTCTCTCTGTTGGGCGAAGCAAAGTGATGGCTAAAGGCAGAACCAGCTAATTCTATTACATCATGGAATGATTTGGCAAGGAAAGTTTTGACAAGGTTCTTCCCTTCAGGCAAAACTACAAAGATCAGAAGTGAGATAGTCGCCTTCAAACAGAAAGCGGGGGAGTCTCTATACTCAGCTTGGGAGAGTTCAAGGGGCTGCTCAGAGACTGTCCTCATCACAATAAGACAAACAAAGTGTTAGCTCATACTTTCATAGAAGGGCTACATCCTGAAACAAAAATTGTGGTAGATGCTGCAGGTGGAGGTCAAGTGTTAGAGAAACACTTTGATGAGCTATATGCATTATTGAACAAATTCTCCAAAAGCAATCCGGATTGGAAAGGAGAAATGGGCAAACACACGGTGCAAAAGTCTGCAGGGGTTCTCGAGTTAGATGTCATCTTGGCATTATCAGCGCAAATTTCTTCAATGACCAACCAAGTCAATCAGATGACCTTGGTTATTAACAAGCAGCAACCAGTGCTACTGGTTCAAGTGTTTTGTGAAGTATGTGGAGAGGGTCACACGAGTGACTTATGCCCAGTTAATCCAGAGTCTGTCTGCTTTGTGCGTAATGCAAATAGGGGCCAGATGAACCAATATGGGAACACTTACAATCCCAACTGGAGGAACCACCCAAACTTCTCTTGGGGTGGAAATCAAGGTACTCAAAATCAATATCGACCACAAGCACCTCAACAATAATATAGACCACCTCAGACTCAATAACAGGAAATCTCAACAAGTCATATTGAGGAAATGATGAAGAAATTGATGGTTGACCAGCAAGCCCACATCGCAGAGATGATACAGAAAGTGATGGTTGACCAGTAGGCCCAAGCCACAGCAATGAGAAATTTGGAGTGCCAAGTGGGACAACTGGCCAGTGCCCAAAATACTAGACCAGTTGGAGCTCTTCCAAGTGACACTGAAGCTAATCCTAAGGCATCCATTAATGCCGTGTCATTGAGGAATGGGAGACAATTAGAAGAAGTCCAGTGGAAAAAGAGAAAACATGTGACTTTTAATGAGAGGCCAGCCACTATAGAATCAAAATCATAAAAATCAAAGGAGTCAGAGAAGCCAGCTGAAGAGGCGGTGGCTGAGCAACCCCCACCATTGGTTGCGAGGCCACCACCTCCGTTTCCACAAAGATTGCAGAAAATGAAGGATAATGCCGCATATAAAAAGTTTCTTGATATTTTGAAGGAGGTGCAAATTAATATTCCATTGGTAGACATCTTGCAAGAAGTGCCCAAATAAGCAAAATACATCAAGGACATAGTGGCAAATAAAAGGAGGCTGACCGAGTTCAAAACTGTGGCACTCACGGAGGAATGTAGATCAAGAATTCAAAGCAAGCTACCTCAAAAATTGAAGGATCTGGGTAGTTTCACTATCCAAATCTCGATTGGTAAGCATGCAGTCGGGCGAGCCTTATGTGATCTTGGAGCGAGCATCAATTTTATGCCGCTATATGTGTTCTGATAGTTGGGGTTGGGTGAGCCACGCCCAACAACGGTAATCTTACAGTTGGCTGATCGCTCCCTTGCTCATCCTAAAGGAGTGATTAAAGATGTGTTAGTTCAAGTGGGTTCTTTCATATTCCCTGCTGATTTCATTATCTTGGACTACGAGCCTTATCAGGAAGTCCCATTTATTTTGGGGCATCCATTTTTAGCCACGGGCCGAGCTATTATTGATGTTTACGAAGGAAAGATGACGATGCGAGTAGGCAATCGAGTGGAGGTATTCAATGTATATAAAACACTCAGATTACTAGCCCAATATGAAGAGCTATTCATGATTTCTGTGATGGAAGGTGATGCTACATCAGTAGTGCCTTATATGAGCCCTATAGATCCTCTTGAACGAGCTTTGATTGGGGATGAAGAAGACATCGAAGATGAAATGATGGGAGAAATTGAGCAAGTACTTGATATGTCCTCCAATTATTTCCATGGGTTTGGAAAATTTGAGGAGTTGGACAGGCCTGTCACTCTGACCCCTCCTAAGCCATCTATTGAAGAAGCTCCAAAGCTAGAACTTAAGCCCCTATCAGTGCATCTGCACTATGCTTATTTGGGGAACTCTAAGATATTGCTCGTGATTATCTCATCCAGCTTAACTAACACACAAGAAGAAAAATTGCTCAGAGTACTTCGCGAGCATAAAAAGGCTATTGGGTGGACAATTGTTGACATCAAGGGAATCATTCCATCGTTTTGCATGCATAAAATCTTCTTGGAAGATGGACACCGCCTTAGTGTTGAGCAGCAAAGGAGGTTAAATCCCATTATGAAGGAGGTCGTGAAAAAGGAAGTAATTAAGTTGCTCGATGCAGGTATCATCTTTCCTATTTCTGACAGCAACTGGGTAAGCCCAGTTCAATGTGTGCCCAAAAAAGGGGGGATGACTGTGATTGCGAATAAGAAAAATGATCTAATTCCTACTCGCACTGTAATGGGGTGGAGAGTCTGCATCGATTATAGAAGGCTCAACAAAGCAACCTGTAAGGACCACTTTCCACTTCCATTCATTGACCAAATATTGGACAGATTAGTGGGGCATGAATATTATTGCTTCCTTGATGGTTATTCAGGATAAAATCAGATTATCATATGCCTAGAGGATCAGGAGAAGACCACTTTTACTTGTCCTTATGGCACTTTCGCCTTCAAGAAAATGTCGTTTGGTCTTTGTAATGCATCAGCAACTTTCTAGAGATGCATAATGGCTATTTTCACCGATATGGTGAAAAATTTTGTGGAAGTTTTTATGGATAATTTTTCAGTCTGTGGGTCTTCTTATAATGATTGTTTGAAGAATTTGAGCAAGGTATTGGCCCGTTGCAAAGAAACAAATCTGGTATTGAATTGGGAAAAATGCCATTTTATGGTGCAGGAAGGCATCGTGTTGGGTCACTGAGTGTCTAGGAGTGGCATTGAAGTTGATAAGGTGAAGGTGGAGGCAGTTGAAAAATTACCTCCACCTATTTCTGTGAAGGGTGTCCGGAGTTTCTTGGGACACGCAGGATTCTATCGATGCTTTATTAAAGATTTTTCTAAAATTGCTACTCCTTTGTACAGGTTGCTTGAAAAAGATGTAACTTTCAATTTTGATGACGCCTGCCTCAAGGCATTTGAAGAACTCAAAAAGAATTTGGTGGCTGCTCCCATTATTGTGGCACCAGATTGGTCCTTACCATTTGATCTTATGTGTGATGCGAGTGACCATGCTATTGGGGCAGTGCTAGGCCAGAGGAAAGACAGGGTGTTTTATTTCATTTACTATGAGAGTAAGACTCTTGATGATGCACAACTGAATTACACCACCACTGAAAAGGAGTTGTTAGCCATTGTGTGGGCCTTTGAGAAATTTCGGGCATAAACTTAGTGGGAACAAAAGTCGTAGTCCATACCGATCATGCAGCAATCAGGTATTTATTTACAAAAAAGGAATCTAAGGCTAGATTGATGCACTGGATTTTGTTGTTGCAGGAATTTGATGTAGAAATACGAGATCAAAAGGGCATAGAGAACAAAGTAGCTGACCATCTATCAAGGCTGGAAAGTCACGACCACGTGGAGGAGGGTGGCCAAATTAAAGAAGTATTTCCCGATGAGCATCTTTTTGCTATCACCCAAGACCCTCCCCCATGGTACGCAGACTATGTGAATTATCTTGTGAGTGGGGTACTTCCTCCTGAAATTGAATCTGAAGCTAGAAAGAGGTTTTTACATGATGTGAACATCTACTATTTGGATGAGCCATATTTGTACGAGCAATGTGCTGATCAGTTGCTGAGGAGATGAATTCTAGAAAAGGAGGTAGAATTAGTGTTGTATGATTGTCACACATCACCTTATGGGGGCCATCATGGAGGAGATAGAACAGCTGCAAAGGTATTACAATCCGGTTTCTTTTGGCCAACTTTATTCAAGGATGCCCATGTATTTGTTAAGAAGTGTGGCCAGTGTCAGATAATAGCAACAATCACTAGGAGGCATGAGATGCCTTTGAATAACATCCTGGAGGTTGAGCTTTTTGATGTATGGGGGATAAATTTTATGGGACCATTCCCATTGTCCAGGGGAAAAAAATACATTTTTCTAGCAGTTGACTACATGTCAAAATGGGTAGACGCGATCGCATTGTCAGCAAATGATGCCATGGTGGTAGCTGCGTTTGTGAAAAAGAACATATTTTTGAGGTTTGGGACTCCACGTGCTTTGATTAGTGATGAAGGGACACACTTTTGTAATCGGTTGTTGAATAACCTTCTAGCTAAATATGGAGTCCGCCATAGAGTTACGACAGCATATCATCCTCAAACAAGTGGACAAGTTGAGGTGTCTAATAGAGAAATAAAGCAAATCTTAGAGAAGACGGTGAGTGTGAATAGAAAAGATTGGGCTACAAAGTTAGATGATGCCTTGTGGGCATATAGAACTGCATACAAAATGCCAATTGGGGCGTCGCCGTATAGGCTAGTTTATGGGAAGGCATGTCACTTGCATGTTGAACTTGAACAGAAAGCATATTGGGCCATTAAGAAGTTAAATATGAACCTTGAAGCCGCGGGCGAGAAAAGACCTTTGCAGTTGAATGAGTTAGATGAGTTTATGCTGCACTCTTATGAAAATGCTAAGCTTTACAAAGAAGAGACAAAAAGATGGTATGACAAGCATATCAAGTCGCGTCACTTCGAGCCAGGCCAACAGGTATTATTGTTCAATTCTAGACTAAAGCTATTTCCTGGGAAGTTAAAATCGAGATGGTCAGGCCCGTTTGAGGTAGTGAGAGTAACTCCTTATGGTGCAATTGAGCTGCGGGATTTGAATGGTGAAAGAAAATTTTTGGTGAATGGACAAAGAGTAAAGCATTATTGGGGAGGAATAATTGATCGTGAGAAGACCAAGGTTGTAGTCGCTGATGAGTAAGCGAGATTCTGAGTCGTGCCGCGACATTAAATCAGGCTCTTGTTGGGAGGCAACCCAGCCTTACTACTTTTTTTTGTTTTTATTATATTATTTTTTAGTGTTTGTTTTGATTTTGTAGGATTATACGCATAGGAGGCAAAGCCATTGGAAGAGTGCAAAAGCGAGTTAGATGGTGAGAACTAAGTGTGGAGTGCCACACAAAAGATCATGCATGGGGGAAGTCTGAGTACCCGTGAGCCGCTATTGCTTCGGCCTTTGGCCTTTCAGGGAGTTTCTTGTCCACCCTCGTTATTGTTTTGCTTATTTGTGCATTGGGGAAACTGCACTCTTTTAAGTGTGGGGTGGGAGAATTCTCTAGATAATTAGTAGTGGATGTAGAAAAATGATAAAAAAAATTCCCGAAGTTGTGTATTATTTTAAAAAAAATGAAAAAAGTAGAAAAGTTTGACTTCTCCCGATGATGGATCTCATTTGACATGTCTCTTGAGGGATTTAAGTTGAAAGAAAAAAAAAGATTTTTTTTTGTTAGGTAGTGCAATAATTCCCCCTTGGTTTTTCTTTGTGTCGCGGTTCTTTTTCAAGGGTTTTATTTGAACCGGGTGTAGGTAGTTTTATTTTTTAGGAGTAGGAACCACTGTGAGATGAAGTGAATTGGAGCAATATCTCTTGACTTTGTTATGCCATGAGAATAGTGAGTACTTTGGTTGTGACGCTTAGACTCAGTTTTTGACTCTTGTATAAGTAGCTTAAATCGTATGATCTTAACTTTGCTTAACTGCTTTGACTAGAATATCTTGATGAATCCAATCCTGAGTGAGTTATGTGCCATGTGTGTGTGAGGTTTGTGTGTAATTATTTGCATTGCATTTGATGTCTAGAACTTGCCCTGTGTGTTTGCAAAGCGAAATAGTAGTTTTGTTCAGTCTTAGAAGTGATATAGGCGTTTCTTTGTTGAACCAGTTATATAATTTACCCGCCTTATTGTTATGTATCGTAGTTAACCCATTTGAGCCTGTAATCTTGTTTCTTTGGCAACCACATTACAAGCCTTACCCATTTGTTTGAATTAACCATCTATTTGAACCTTTTCACCTCTCATGAGCACTTAAATTGTTATGAACTTTGTAAAAGTTAAAGTGTGGGGTGGTTGGTTTGGCTTTTGAGTGGAACTAATGAAATAAGGAGAAAGGTGCACTATTTTGAAAAAAATAAAATAAGAAAAGCCACTTGAATTGAAAAAGAAAGAAAAGAAAAAAAAAGTTGTATTGTTGTGAAATATATTCCTTGATAGTGGTAACTCTTGATGTAATTGTGCTTAAAGAAGTATGGAGTTAATATACATTGATGTGAAGGTGGAGTTATGGTTTGAAATAAGTGGGGTTAAATGTTAAAGTGTATGTATTAAAGTGTTTAGGGAGGACTAGTGACTCTTATATCCAAATGTATCCTACTCGACCCACAGTCTACATTACAACCAATGAAAGTCCTACTTGATCTTAGATTGAATGAGCTTGATTAGTCGAGTATTACACTACGGGCAAGCCTATGGTGCATATTTTGTAGCCTATGAATGTTATTTCTGAGAGTGAGTAAATTATTTCTAACTTGAGTTCCTGATTGTTCTTAAAAGTTTATTGTGTGTGGAACTACTCTCTTTTGTTGTGTGAGGGCACTTGATTCATGAAGGAAAGGTAATGTCATTGACCTCTATGTTAGAGTAAGTGAGTGAATTGTGAAATAATGCATGGTACTTGTGAGTCAAATCTTGAGGTGAAGATGTTACACCCTTATTCTTAGTCTTATTTAAAGATTCTTGGCATAATGAGTTAAGGGAATTGCTTAATAGGTTGTGTCTATAAGTGTAGTTTGATTGCTCGCGGACGAGCAATATTTAAGTGTGGAGTATTGATGTGTGGCTATAATTCATGGTTTAGCACATTATTTGCCTTGCATTTTTATACGTTTTAATGATAAAGTACACCTTATTTGCGTGTAATAGGGTCCATTTTATGTGTAAGTAAATTGGAGATGAAAGCAGAAGAAAAAGGAGACCTACAAGTCAAAAGCGTGTGCGGGAGCATTGAATGAGAGAACCTGGCGACGCCAGGCTTGAAGCTGGCTTTAGGCTAGCGTTGCAAGGCAAAGGCCAGGCTGAAACTGGCATTAGGCTGGCGTTGCAAGGCAAAGGCCAGGCTGAAACTGGCGTTAGGCTGGCGATGCCAGGCCTGGGGCCAGGTCCAATCCGAGTTTTGAAGACTTAATTCGTTTTCGGGTTTGAGTAGGAATTGGCCTACACGTTTAGGTCTTTTCCTACACATATAAATAGACCTAAAAATGCCACTTGGAGGGCGTTTTTTGGCGATCGGAGGCAAGAACATCATGTGGACAACTTTTGGAGGAGAAAATCATCGAGTTCTTCATCTCTTTATCTTTTCTTTGTAGTTTGTTTATGCAAAATACTTGAAAAATTGTTACTACGATCATGAGTGGCTAAAACCCATAGTTCTGGGGTTGTGATTTAGCCATGAATATTGTTGTTTTACGTTGACTTAACCTTGATTACAATTCACTAATATATGTTGTTTCTTCAATTCTGTGATTAATTGCTTAATTGGCTGGCCAGCAGTTAGGTTCTATTTACTATCTATGCTATGCTTGGGAAAGCCGTGTTTAGATTAGAGAAGAATTAAAGAGAGAACGATCTTAACTCTTAGGGGGGCGGATTTGTGGTTAGGATAGGAATATACCTAGTCACCGTGCTTAATTAAATATCATAATCTTAATACGTTTTTGATAGATTGATTTCATAGGAATATAGGCGTTAATCTATTTTGAATAGGCGAGTAGTACTTTAGGAGAAGGCTATGAGAGCAATAGTTCGATTAATTAGCAACCATGAGTGAATTGTATGAAAGGGAGAGTTAACTAGAACACAATAGGATGGTGACTCGATTACAGCCCTAGAATATTTGTCTCTACTGAATACACCACAATTATTTTGCTACTTGATAATTTAGTTATTAATTAGAATGATAGTTTAGTATAATCACATCCTTGAACTCGATTTTGGTTGACTGAATAACAATCTTGGTAAATTTAGTGGGTAGTTGATACAAGTCTCTGTGGGTTCGACACTCGACTTATCACTTTATTACTTGTACGACCACGTATACTTGCGTGTGCGTTTGGGAGCAACACGAGCCACACGTTGACTTATTTTGACTTTTTAGAATAAAATTTTAAGTCGACGTTTTATTATCCGGAATTATTTACGATTAGTTTTTAATGAAGTTATACAACTGATTTGAATAGATTTGAGCGTTTCGGAGGTCAATTCAAGCAAGAAGGTGGTTTTGGAATATCGGCATAACTTCTAAAAGGTAAGTGTGTTGCTTAACCTCGAGTTGGGGAATTTCCACTTAGGCATTGAGTCTTATGTGCAATTTGTGTAATTGAAAATCATGTACACGAGGTGACGAGTACGTACTTGGTTTATATATGCAAATTGTATTGAGTTAAAGTCTTGAGCATATTGTATAGTAAATTGGATAATTATTGGCATATATTTAATCATCTATTTGTCGTGCCTAAATTCTTGTTGTTGAATCTATTGTTATATGACAATTTGATGTGATTGTAACTTGATTATTTATGAAATTCCGTGAATTTGCTGGTTTGATAATTATTGGAATTTAATTTTATTTTTGATTTTTTCCTCTGCAAATAAGTAATTAAATGAGCTTAAGAAGAGGTGTTTATATAATTATTGAAAATTTGGATTTAATGAAGACTTTGCTTTATGTTGAGTAATTTCTATCTCTTTTGATTGTTTTTGGGTGTTGTACACATTGTGTGGAGCCTTCGTCTATTTGTTGTGAACTTAAATTGACTTGGTTGTATCTTTGGAATTTTGGTTGTAGCCATTGGGCAAATTGTGATATGAATTGATTTTGTTATGTTGACGTGATAATTTTCCGTTTAAATTGTTGTGTTGTGTTAATTATTATTTTGAAGATATAAGGGTGGCATTTCACCGTTGATATTATGTGGGTATAAGGGTGGTATTTCACTGTGGTTGTGTTTGTTGGAATATTGTCTGGGCGGAGCGATAAGGGTGGCTATAGGAGCGATAAGGGTGGCTATTGATATTGTCTGGGCGGAGTGATAAGGGCGGAAATAGGAGCGATAAGGGTGGCTATTGTCGGGGAGAGATGTTATGATGTGGAGTTGTGGTGTTGGTGATTTTAATGTGACGTTGTGATTTTTTTGTGTTTAGTTTTATACCTTGTGTAATTTGTCTTGTTGATGGTAAATTGATAACAATCTGATTTATGTTGAAATTGAGAGCCTGTGACTATTGCCAGGCGGTTTATATATTGAAATGTGGGCACGAGGTGCCGTGAATTGTGATATGAAATGAGGATATTGTCACGTGAATTGTTTGTGTAATTATGATATAAAATATGGGCACGAGGTGCTGTGATTAATGATAATAATATTGGCACGTGAACTGTCCATGCAGCTGTGATATGAAAAGTGGGCATGAGGTGCCGGGGAAATATGATGATTTAATTAAGGGCATGAAGTGCCATGGAAATATATGAAAATGGACTGTGACCCGTATTTTTAAGATTATGACCTGAGATGTCACTTGGTGACTTCTTAATTGAAAAGATTATATAATCAAAATATTTATTTGGAAGGATTTTTACTTAGAAAGTATTATATGAAAGAATTATATTTGAAAAGAATTATTGAAAGAATTATATTTGAAAAATAATTATTTGAGAAAATTATATTTGAAAGAGTGTTATTTGGAAGAATTATATGACAGAAAGACTTTTATTTGAAGGACTTGATTTAATTGGGTGTAATTGTGTTTATTATTTGTTGAGTGATATTAATGGTATTCTTGTTGTCTGCTGTGCATATCACTGGTTATTTCATATTGCCCTTATTGTTATTTGTTTCCTATTATATTGTATATTATATTGCACAGG